ATCCCTAATATATATATATATATACATAATAAATATACACAGTACACATACATATATTATGTAAACAAAAACTTTTATTTTGGATGCGATTAATCGTTTGACAGCACTAATATATATATATATATATATATGCCAAATCAAATTATTAATAATAATATATAAATAACACTAAAATAACCCTGCAGCCCACAACATCTGTCTTAAAGAAATAGTTCGCCCAAAAATGTGTTTAGTACAAAGACAGCTTTTCACTTCACAAGATGTTGACTGATGGACTGTAGTCGTGTGAATTACTTGTGGATTATTGCAATGTTTTTATCAGCTGTATAAACTCTCATTCTGACGGCACCCATTCACTGCAGAGGATCCATTGGTGAGCAAGTGATGTAATGCTAAATTTCTCCAAATCTGTTCTGATAAAGAAACAAACTCATCTACACCTTAAATTAGTACATTTTCAGCAAATGTTCATTCATTCCTTTAACCAAAGCCATAAGCTTTGGACAGGACTGCGTGTTTGTGTGAAGAATGGCAAATGTTGTTTGGGAAAGTCACATTTTCGTTCAGTTTGTTCCCTTAACCCTCGACGATTCTGCGGAGTACTGATATGGTGCAAATGTAGTGCATTTGAAGCAGCAAAGTGACTTTTTTCCATGAATAACTAATGAACTGGAAGGAACAGAGGTGGGGGAAAAAGGGTCAGAACCTACTGAATTAAATGCAAGAGAAAGCATTTCTGTGAGTTTGTGTAGTTGGATCCACACCTGAACTGGTTGTAGACGTCAGGACAGTAGAACAGTGCAGTCATTACATTCTGGTCGGGACACACGCTTCGAAGAACCAAACTGATCCCGTACAGCGACGTCAGCAGAAAGAAAACAAGTGTCAGAAGGAAGTCGCGGTGATTGGCCTGCCCCACACAGCTGTTGATCCTAACACAAACCAAAATGACAAACAAGACACCAAACTGAGACCTGGAGATTATTTTCACATATCAGTTACACAGAATGAGGAGAATGCCGAGGGTGAGATCACCTCTCTGTCTCCATTACACATATGTTTACATGAAGAATAAGACATTTTACAGCTGTGCTGAACACCACAAAGTCTGATTAATGCATATTAATCCATAATATATAATAAATGGACAACTAGAATGTTCTGAGATTACTTGGATTATTTCAAACACAACAATGAGCATACATTCAGCGCATAGCACATGAGCTAACTTAACCCAACTGATACAGGAATTCTGGTCATTGTGCACTCTTCGATTCCATGAATTTTGATGATTGAAAATTTAGTTTCAAGGAAAGTAAAATTAGCATGCAGATAAGACTTCACTATGCATGCAGTATACAGTATATACATATTAGACACTAGAGATGGGTCAATAACTAAAGCATTTCTCAAAATGCTGGTAATGCTAATATGTGCATTTACGTAAAAAATTAAGTGTATTTGGACATGACAAATATTGCATGAAAATGAACCCTATTTTAGCAACATTAACATTTTTTGCCTTTTTTATTTCAAATATTCTCCCAAAATCATTACATGATCTCATTACATTTTCATTATTTACGTTATTCTTGATGAATCAATGGATTTTCCGTATTGTAGCTATATATAAATTTTACAAAAATATAAAAATAATATATATTTTAAGTATATATATATATATATATATTTATATATTTATATTTATATGTAAAATAATCATTAAAGTATCAGCATCATTAATTTTAATTTCATGACAATTCATTCTCCCAAATTCTCATTACATTTATATATTTTACATTTAAATCTCTCAATTAAATTTGTTATACTTGATGATTCTTGCGGGATCCTCACTAATGTAGGAATGTGCTTATAAAATATCTATCTTCGCAAAAACATGAAAAATAAAATATATTATTAAAGTATTTTTGATATAATAAGACATCATGTCTTTGTATTTGCCTTTATGCTGATTGTAATATAGCTACTATATAATATATATATATATATATATATTATATATTACAATCAACATAAATTAAGCACAAATACAAGTACAAATACATGTCTGAATACTTTAGATAATATATCTTATTTTTCATGTTTTTGCACAATTAGATATTTGTCACAGTAATGTGAAATCAAAGAGATTATTTGTTTAATTTTCATAAAAATATTTCACAATGCAAAAAATTTGGGTGTGAAATATGACCCAAACATGTTACTGACTGGTAAAATTCACCCACATAACAATGACTGAGACCCTCTTGAATAATAAGCAGTGCTTTTTAAATGAACCCACCAGACACAGTGGTGGTCCAGACGCAGGATGCAGACTCCACAGATCCTGCAGTGTCCCGCTCTCGGGGGCCGCACCACTTTGCATACAGCACACCAGTTCCTCCTCTGAACGCCCTGCTGTGCTGTCCCAGATTCACCAGTTTGTTCGTGATTGGCTATCACCACCTGGTGCTGTGCTCCATTTAGATAGGCGGCATCTACGTCAGGTGGAGGTTTGTTATAGGTCACTGTACTATGAGTGTCAGTTGGACGAGGCCTGACGTAGCCCGGCCCTCTCTTAGTGATTATGAGAGAAATGACCGTAAGAGCAACACCCGCCGTCACAGCGGCCAACTGAAGGTGAGTCACATCACCTCGAGGAACGATTTCGGTGATGAAGAGGTAGAACATGTAGAAGAGGGAGAAGAGTGCGAGGCTGAGGAAGAATAACGTGCGTCCTTTCTTTCGGTGAGTGAAATAGTAGTACAAAAGGACCATGATGGGCACTGCTGTTAGCACTAAAATACCCAACAGGTAGTGCAAAGCTGCAATGTGCAAAAAAACAGGAAGCAGAATAAGAGGAGGGATCACTGATATATCAACTTGTCGGGCTCCAGATATCCAGGGCACCCGCAGACGATCATTGATCGTGGCTATAACCCGGGACAGAGAGTCTGGACTTTGAGACTTCTTCTTCATCCATCTGGAAAATAAAATTTTAAGTCATACTCATCATTTACCCATAAACAAGTAGAAATCTATGAATCCAAAGTGCTCACCTGTCACAAGCCTCATCCAAATCCTCACAGTCACAGCAACATGCTGCCATGTGACTGCGTCCACCATGACGATCGATGTACTCACAACAGCACAGAGGATCATCTTGATCTAGTGTGCGACGGCTTCTTTTCTTCATGATGGATATCAGCCGATAAAATGAAGGTGAGGGAAGATATTGAATTCCTGTGAGGAAACCAGATTGCATGTTTATTAGATTTATATGGGTAGACAAATATATACACTGTATACTGTATTGGTCATTATTCTGGCATATCCTAGAATATCCTGTATGTAAAGGGACAATGTCCCAGAGGATGCACTATCTGGGACAATTTCTTCTATATGTGGTGTCTATGGTTTATAGTTTGCACATGCTTGAGTCACATTATGCTTAATGGTGTGGGAATCAGTTTAAAAGTAGATTATTAATGGATCCAGGCCTGTGTATTTGATACAGGCTTATTTATATATAACCAAAAAGCATAAAAAGCATTTTCATGATTTAAAATAAAATATTATCTGAAATGAAACATAATTTTAAACTTATTTTATTTCCGTGTTTTTTCCGTACATTTTATAGGTCCATGTATTCACTAGGAATTAAATAAATGAATAAATAAGTAAATAAGCTCCACATAATAGATAGACAGACAGACAGACAGACAGACAGATAGATAGATACATAGATAGATAGATAGATAGATAGATAGATAGACTATTCCACAGGTTACGCTGTAAAGTTCGTCAGATTTAAGTTAAAGCAATGAGGATCTGATTGACGACACTAGAACACGCCATATAACAAAAGTAATCACGATAATATGCAAATAAACTGATAGTGAAATGTCAAACATTCATACTTACAGTACAAAACATTCATATCGCAGAAGCAGTTCCTACTGTCAGTATGAGCGTCAGCTGTCAGTCTCATTGTCGTTAGTGGACCATAAGAGTCTTTTTACCCCGCTGCTCCATTATAGCATACTTAGCCATTTACTCCACAGAAATTACGACGAGTTGCCCAAGAAAAACTACACAAAGCAGCCTATAAATACGAAGTTTACTACAAAGAGCACCAGGAAGTCGCGTAACAAACAGCTGCAGCGCACAGCACGCGCGTTTGACCGCCCTGTGTATGTGACTGGCGAATAGAAACGATCCTTATCCCAGTCTTCCTGACGTCAGTGCAAACTAACCCTTTCATTTCCTCCAATTAAAAACTTTACTTGATGCTCATGGTTTGTCACAGAGAACACCGTTTCCAGGTGCCTCCAGAGTCTGATTATTTATAACTTTTTCGCCTTTAAAGGGGTCCTATTATGCTCTTTTACAAAGTCTTGATTTTGTTTTGGGGGTGTACTAGAACAGGCTCTCATACTAGGTTGTATTTTTCACATATTTTACATTATTACAACACCTTTCTACCCAGTCTGGCACGAACAGCTCGAATAGTTCCTCTATCAAATGAAGGCCCGCCTTCTGAAATCGTAGGGCTGGGAATCGATTCCAAAAAGAATCGATTCCTTGATTCCGAGGCGTTGGGAGAGTCGATTCCAAAGGTTGGAATCGATTCCATCAAGGGGAATCGACTCCTCATTCAGACTCAGAGCCCCTTTCAGTTCAACAAAGCTTATCTATGGGTGCCTCTCAAACGGAAGGCTGCATCCTACGAACGCTGTACACATTTAAATTCACGAAAATAAACTGAAAGAAGGAGTCGGTACTGAGATCATCTGAAATGTAGGATGCACCCTTCCATTTGAGAAGCACCATTCACCTCCCTCATGCTCGCTAAAAGCCGTAATTACGAGAGTTGTGAGATAAAAGATTATTTTCATTTTTATATTTTTATTACCATTCGCCTCCCTCATGCTCGCTAAAAGTGATTAGAAGTCATTAGAACCAGTTAAAAAAAAAACGATTCAGAGGTTATTTTACGGTGGACCTGGCTTGTCCACAATTTTGAGCGCTGCACGACAGAATAGATCATGACGCAATCGAGGATCTTGATCTTATTTCCATCTAAAATACTATTTTTTTTTTTAAACATTTCTATCAGCCAATGATAATTATAAAAGAAAACGTCCCGAGCATAGATCAGTGGCTGAGAGCGCATCTGATTGACAGATAAACCACGAGCTCTATC